ATTTGGTACAGTTGTTTGTAAATCTATACCGCCAGTCCACAACGTTCAAAGAAAAGTGTCCTTTGCCAAGATTATCAGGCTTCGCGCGCTCAAATCCTTTTTTTTTACCGTAGATCTGAGAAAGCGGTTGTATACAGCTGACATTTTAAATATTTCTGAGTGATCTGACGAGACTATTGAAGAACATGCCACGAGCTTTCATGTTGCGGTTATAAATAGATGAGACATAGAGATATAGATAGGCTGATATAGATATAAACAGGATGAGATAGATAGATAGATAATGAACCGAATGATAGATAGATAGATAGATAGATAATGAACCGATAGATAGATAGATAGATAGATAGAGAGATAGATAGATAGATAATGAACCGAATGATAGATAGATCGATAGATAGATAGATAGATAGATAGATAGATAGATAATGAACCGATAAATAGATAGATAGATACATAGATAATGAACCGAATGATAGATAGATAGATAGATAGATAGATAGATAGATAGAAAATGAACAGACTGAGATAGATAGATAGATAGATAGATAGATAGATAGATAGATAATGAACCAAATGCTAGATAGATAGATAATGAGCCGAATGATAGATAGATAGATAGATAGATAGATAGATAATGAACCGAATGATAGATAGATATATAGATAGATAGATAATGAACCGATAGATAGATAGATAGATAGATAGATAGATAGATAGATAGATAGATAATGATGAAATATAAGGGCTAACTCGGCAAGGTTACTATTATTGAGAGGTTGTATACAGCTGAGGGTTTGGCGCCACGCATGGCATCTTTATTAAAGTGTCGATCTGACGAGGCCGTTGAAGAACATGGTTGCAGATTTCAGGTTGTGGTTATAAATAAGATGAGATAGATAGATAGATAGATAGATAGATAGATAGATAGATAATGATGAAATATAACGGTTAAGTCGGCCAAGATTACTATTAGCCAACAATCTGAGAAGTTGTATACAGCTGACGGTTTGGCTCCACGTATGGCATCCATATGAAAGCCTCGATCTGAGGAGACTATTGAAAAACATGGCTCGAGTTTTCAAGCTGTTGTTTTGGTATACCAACAATTTGCTGTGTTGAGTGAAACTACTTCTATTCTACGTTCAATTTCCTTTTCACCTATATTAAATTTATTATAATTGATCCATAGGCAGAGGTATTTGATGTGTTTTAGTGTTTACTAATTCCGCAAGTTAATTTCATTCGAACCCCAGATCATTGTTTCTGTTTGGAAAGTTTATCTTTAATATTGGTAGAGGATATTAATTTTCTGATCAAGGTCATTCTGATTCCAACTATGTTTGCTTTGGTTTGTTTTGTTTTATAACATATCAACTCTTCAATGTGTTATTTCATGCAAAAAGATTTTTTAGGATAGAGTCGTCTAGACGTGTACAGACTCCGTCTTGATCTTCGTTTTTGCAAAGCCAAGCCATGATGATGATCCTTGCCTCATATATGAAACAATGTTTAAACAAAGTCGCTTGCAGCAAAATTAATTAAGATATAGAGTTGGGACCTTGGGACAAAACGGAAATGAGGTTTGGGAGACAACGTGTTGATAAAGTTTGTGTGGTTAATTTCTGTTCTGTCAAACATTTACACTATCACGTTAGGTAGGTTAGGCGCCACTTTCGTCTGTCCCTATTGCCTTAGGAGTGTTAAGTTTTCTGGGCCCTCTTTCTTCATTATCAGCTGTAGAACTTTATACTGTCTCTTTCTGATGCTAAATATAAGTGTTCTTTTGGTTTTCATTTTCGATAGTGTGTGTATATATGTGTCGTGTTTCTTTCCTGAATGTGTATGCTGTATGTTTCTGTGTGTGATATATGTTTTTATGTGCTTCGTGTGTTTATGTATTTTATACGTATGTGTGTCATTTATTTTAGTTTGTATGTACATTTATGTGCGTTATGGCTTTTTGTGGGTTTTAAGTGTGTGCATCTGTGCCGTGTATGTCAGTATATATGTACGTGTATATTTTGCATGAATGTCTTGCGTGTGCATGCGTTCATATGTATATGTGTATCGTGTGTGTTTGTATTGCCAGTGCATTTGAATCCTGTGAATGTATGCAAACACACACACACGTATATATATATATATATATATATATATATATATATAATAATATATAAAAAGAAATGTGTTCTCTATAAATGTGTTAATAAATACAGTACTTGAGTTATATTAAATCCCTAAATTATTTGTAAAAGAGTTAAATATTTAAATTGCTAGCAAGCATCAAATTAATTTCTTCGTGTTTTTTTTAAGATTTAAATTAATATCAAACATTAAAATCTATTTTTTTACATAAATTGCTAAAAATATACCACCCTTCTTTTTCCTACGTAAAACCTATCTCTTTAATTCTCCCTTCTTACTTTTTTTCTTTTTCTTTTTCTCTCTTCTCCCCTCCCATTTCAATATATCACTCCCGTTAAGTTAACTGTTTAAATAGGTCAAGGTCTGGTCCCTCCGCTCCCAATACTAAGTATGATTGAAAGAAATATTAAAATAAACCCTCTCTAAACTCGACCATGTCTCTCACACCACTCCTCGCTACCCTCTCTGTTAAATTACATAAACTTAATACTACCCGTCAAAAGTGTGAATTTTCATTTCATCTCGCGTTTCATTTTTTGGAAGTGTTATCTGATGATCTAGCGTCCCTTAAAAGAGCTGTGGTGAAATAAATTATTATAATGGAAGCTTAAAGTGGTCTTTTTTTCTTTAAATGATTAGCTCTGGATTTACTTTGAGCTCTCAGGATTTCATCCTCCATGGGACTACCATACGGATTACCAAAATTTTTATAAATTATATATATATATATATATATATATATATATATATATATATATATATATATATACACACACACACACACACATATATATATATATATATATATGTATGTATGTATATGTATGTATTCTGAGTGTGCGTTTGTAGTGTGTATTTTTGTGCAGTGTTTGGCAGTCTGAAACCCTTCCGCAAACAATTATGTTTTCCATTATATTTTAAGCAAAAATCGTTTTTAAAACACAATTAATTAATAATTAGATTAAGTCGGTTTCTAATCAAATCTCCAGCAGAAGTAATTCATTTTTGGAAAAGTTTTAAAACCAGTTTAATTTTTCTTCTGGCAACTAAATCGATCGTCGTAATGCAATAAATAAATGTGTTTTTACTTACGATGAATAGCTTAGGGAACAGTTCAATAATTTTCTGCTCTTAACTTTGCACCAATGTTTATGACAAAATTAACTCCTGCCTTAGTAGTAAGCTTGATCTGTTTAAAATGGTCAAGTTGTCAGTTCGTCTCAAAAGTGATCTACGATGTGCTCTTAACTGTGTCAAGGAATGACTAGTTAATTTTAACGCCCCTAAAACAAAACTACTCTCTACTAATCAAGTGAGAGACCCAATGGCCGATGCTAACCTCCATGAGAGTACCTTGTCACGCCTTCTCAGGCTAACAATCTCCGCTGACAGAAAATGGAAAGATTATATGGAGCCAATTGCTAGGTCTTCTGTCAGCGAAGTTAGTTCAATATGTCATGCTAAAAAGATTTTCTCCCTATAATTTATCTTAAATAAACAACGCGCATGCGCGAAATTAAAAATATAAAATGGCGATAATTTTCACATTACATCCTTTATATTCCCTACAAGGAAGTATTTGGTATTCATTGACCAAGTAACCAGTAATGCCTTCGGTGGAAATTTATAATATCTTTCTCCAGAATTAATTTTTCAGGAGAATATATTTGTTTTTTTTTTCGTCTAGTAGCTGTTATCGCTCTTTTCAATACTGATTGAGGTTTTCTTCCTAACCTTTTGTTTAAACTACTGTGGAATGTCAGCATCTTAATTATGTCATTATTTTCTCTTCGTGTTAAATTCATCTTTCGTCAGAATTCATCTGGCATATTTACATATCTACCATTTGTCTATGCTTAGAATATTGCTGCTGCTATATATTTAGAGATTCTTGATAAAATCCAAAGAAGAATCTATCTTACATATTTTCGTCAGAATTCATCTTGCATATTTACAAATCTACCATTCGCCTATGCTTAGAAAATTGCTGCTGCTATATATTTAGAGATTCTTGATAAAATCCAAAGAACCCATCTTACATATTTTCGTCAGAATTCATCTTGCATATTTACAAATCTACCATTTGTCTATGCTTATAATATTGCTGCTGCTATATATTTAGAGATTCTCTATAAAATCCAAAGAATCTGTCTTACATATTTTCGTCAGAATTCATCTTGCATATTTACAAATCTCCCATTTGTCTATGCTTAGAATATTGCTGCTGCTATATATTTAGAGATTCTTGATAAAATCCAAAGAAGAATCTATCTTACATATTTTCGTCAGAATTCATCTTGCATATTTACAAATCTACCATTCGCCTATGCTTAGAATATTGCTGCTGCTATATATTTAGAGATTCTTGATAAAATCCAAAGAACCCATCTTACATATTTTCGTCAGAATTCATCTTGCATATTAACAAATCTACCATTTGTCTATGCTTATAATATTGCTGCTGCTATATATTTAGAGATTCTCTATAAAATCCAAAGAACCCATCTTACATATTTTCGTCAGAATTCATCTTGCATATTTACAAATCTACCATTTGTCTATGCTTATAATATTGCTGCTGCTATATATTTAGAGATTCTTGATAAAATCCAAAGAAGAATCTATCTTACATATTTTCGTCAGAATTCATCTGGCATATTTACAAATCTACCATTCGTCTATGCTTAGAATATTGCTGCTGCTATATATTTAGAGATTCGTGATAAAATCCAAAGAAGAATCTATCTTACATATTTGCGTCAGAATTCATCTTGCATATTTACAAATCTACCATTCGCCTATGCTTAGAATATTGCTGCTGCTATATATTTAGAGATTCTTGATAAAATCCAAAGTAGAACCTATCTTACATATTTTCGTCAGAATTCATCTTGCATATTTACAAATCTACCATTTGTCTATGCTTAGAATATTGCTGCTGCTATATATTTAGAGATTCTTGATAAAATCCAAAGAAGAATCTATCTTACATATTTGCGTCAGAATTCATCTTGCATATTTACAAATCTACAACTTGTTTATGCTTAGAATTTTGCTGCTGCTATATATATAGAGATTTTTGATAAAATCCAAAGAAGAATCTGCAATTTTACTGGTCCAGACTCGGCATCCCGGCTTCAGTCACACTCCCAACAGCTTCTCTGTGCATTTTCTATAAATATTTTTATGTTAGCTATTCGGATGAAAATTTCTCTATGGTACTTAGATTTATGAATTTAACTTCAATACTACCTTACCAACAAGGTCCCATCATTTTAATGCTGAATTGGCTAGATGTAAGCGTAGGCTCTATGTTAACAATTTCATCTATTACACTTCTCTCATGTGGAATCCTTTTCCGGCTTTTTGCTCTGCAAACAAATTTGCTCTTAAAAATGTAAATGCAATGTCAATCGTTGCTTCTTTTATTTTACTCTCTGTTTAATAATGTATTATTCTTTCGCATTCAGTAACGTCTTGTGTCTTAGTGACTTTATTACCTTGCTTGGGGTGAAATGATTTTTAAAAAAGTTACCCTATGCCGAAGCACATGCATTGCACGATTTACTCTTTTAATAGTGATTCTAATGAAATTTGACTAAATCGTAAGCAATGCTGTTGGTTTCAGTGTACCATAAGTATCTAATAAGTAACTAATAAGTAGCATAATCAAATAATAAGTAACTAATAAGTAGCATAAGTAACTAATAAGTAACTAGTAAGTAGTATAAGTCTCTATCTATAAAAGGCAGGATGTGTGTGTGTGTGTGTGTGTGTGTGTGTAACGAATGCACGACCGCAATTCTCGACGGATTTGCACCTAAATTTACATGCACAAGCTCTACTTTAGCGGGAAGGCCAAGACCGACTTTGCATTTGCCAACTCCCATCGATAGTGGAAATAATCGATTTTTTCATGCTTCTACGGGAGTTGTCATGTAGTTTGTGGTCATTTTCTCCTAGCCAGAGTGAGAGCCTATAGCTGGCTGCCACGAATAGGCAGGAAGATTCTATTGGCCAGCGTGAGAGCCAACAGCTGACTGACACGAATGTTTACTAGCATGTAAAAAATCGATAGTTGCATTCGTCACCAGTGGGAAAAATTTAAATCTACATGGCACTTTACTTCAATTGTCTCATTCGCTTGCTTAAACTCAACGTTGATTCTGATTCCGCAGAACTGGTTTGGGTGTGAAAAGAATTTCTTGTTAAGATTCTTTTTTCTTTCGGCTTTTCCAGTTACGAGTCCTTTTTTAAAGCTGATCGTTTTGTGTTCATTTTGTTTAGTTCTTTTTTCGTAACAGATTTAATGTTTAGTATAGAGCTTAGAAAAAATTGGCAGTGTGAGATAGGCAAGAAGTAAGGCATGTAGCAACATCAGAACGGCAAAGGGCACTCCTTTAAAGGCAAGGAAGGGCAAAAATATTTTAAGTCAAGTGATAGCGATTGTATGAGTCGTACGATTTTTTAATCAAGCACGGGCAACGCCGGGCCATGCTGCTAGTAACTAATAAAACTCCACTGAAATTTGACGAAATTATATGCTTCAGTGTAGCATAAGTCAGTATTAAAACATAAAAGTACTAAATACATTACTTTGTCGGGTTAATTCCTCCTAATTTTCGAAACCGTTACTAGGGGACGCTCTCCGCGGTTATTATTCGCAGCCTTTTACTTTTTTTACGCGTTCTCTTTTGGGAAGCGCATGGACAATATATACACACACACGTACGTAGGCACATTCACTCACTTCATATACATTGGGCTGAATAGTTTTCACATTCATTTGTTACACACATTATGTTTTTGTCAATTGTAATCGTTTGTATGTTAATACATTATCACTTGTTTGTACATATATATCGATTCTTTATATTTCTTTACGTGGACTCATATCCTGAGTCTGCCATGCTTGCTGTGTGCATTTCAGGAGACATATGTGTTTATCACTCAACGGGTACCCCGGTCAGCAACAACTTGATATTGTATTCTACTAATTCTACCAATTTTATTAGTTTAGTTTCACTGAAAATTCTTTTATTTCTAATTAAACCAAAGCATTAAAAAGTTAAGATTTGATATTTTTATTTAAATTCTAGGACCGCTTCTCTACTTGTACTTTATTATTTATAGAATAACTTGATTTTTGTTTTTAAGTAACTGTTCTCAAATTTCATGAAATCTTAAGCAACTCTACTGCTGATGTCAGTGTGGATTAAACTACTTGAAAAAAAAAGAAGAAAAACAAAAAAAAAAATCATTACTTGAGGTTGTTATGCCGTAAAACAAACCATACCAAACATTTTGAGGAGCCTTTTACAGACTAGATTCACCCACGTCGGACGTCACCATTTTTTGCGGATGTTGAAAAGGAGAGAGGTTGAAATTAGGTCTGTATAAATCTCAGAAGAATTTGACCGAAATGTATTCCTCCTTTCCGCCATGCAACATAAAATACAGGAGGAAACAATTTTTTTTTAATGTAAAGTTAATCCTTGACAAGTCCCGGGAGCCACTCCATGTAGATGGTTACGTTAGAAGGCCATTTATGTCTATAAGAGTGGGAGATAAACGATTAACCCTAGCCTTAAACAGGTGAAGGTTGTAGGGATCAGGGAAAGATACTGTTAAGAGTCGGTTCTACACGGCAGTGGATCGCAGGAAGATGCTGTTCGAGTGGAACATACTTCTAACGGTTGGAATATGGAGGGAATAGGGGTGATTTGATACTATGGAAGTGGCATGGTGTGTTTTTGAAGGGGACAAGGGAATGTAGTTCGTCCGAGCACTTTCGGCAGTGGAGCAGCAAGAGGCTTGCCATATACTGCCTGTGGGAGAGAGGTTGAAGGGTGACGCATAGTTCGGGCTTGGAGACGCATTTGAACACTATCAAGGCTGTAGAGTGAGGTCTGGGCAACTCCCGCTCAAATATGACAATAGTATTAAATTTGGGGGGGCCTGATCTGGCTCTGCCACTACTTCTACGGAAAGTACATTCCCTAGTACCGCCAAGGCAAACCTTCACAACAAGAACACGCCATGCCACTTACATAGAAGCAAGCCAGCCACATACCACCGTATTCGATAAGAGAGTGGTAAGGTCTACTCAAACAGCTTCTTCACGCGAACCACTGCCCTGTGGAACCGACTTCCAACAGGATTTTTTCCGATTAATACAATCTTGACCTGTTCAGGGCTAGGGTTAACTGTTATCTTTCATTCCTATATACACAAATGGCCTCCAAACGTAACCCTCTACCTCGAGTGGCCGTCGGGCCTTGTACAGCATGAACCTTTCTGTAAAACAAAAAAAAGGAGATGCAAATAAACAAATGAGTTGAACATGTCCCTTCATGACGGATGCTGCAGGTAGGTAGGTAGGTAGGTAGGTAGGTAGGTAGGCAATAGATTTCTTTTGGGATTAGTGTCCGTTGATTTCAGGTGATACGCAAATAAAATGGCATGTCGCCAAACAGTTATGGAAACGTGGCTCTTTGCCAGGCGGACAGATTGGAAGACAGGCACGAATATAAAGAGAGAACGCGGTTGATATTCGAAAAAGTAGTTGGAACAACATAGACGTGAGGATATGCACTTCAAGTATTATCCCTGCGAACATACATATAAGAAAACACCTATATATAGTTTACCGTATATACGCGAGAATTAGTAGCACGTTTTCAACCAAAATTTAGATAAAAATGCGACCTATCCACTTGATATCATAGAAAATCTGAAGTAGACTGTGGCGTATTACCTAGGTTCGAGCATAAGAGAGAGCAAGGGAGAAAATTAATTTTTCTCGAAATTTTGATTTTATCATTCGTCTCTTTCAACAGTATCGCGTCAGACATTTTATAAAAGCGATAGATCTACACAGCTCATACTGATTGGTTAGCAAAATCCCAACGACTGTTTATGTTATGGTCCGGTTCCTTGTACCACGGTGATAGTCCAAGGTAGAACCAATAAAGAAGAACTCGAACACGGATATGGAATAACACAGGTATATTACAAACAGGAATATATACAGAGAAGTAGAAAGTGTTAGTATAAACAATCAGGTTTAGTAGGGAGAACAATGTAGTCTCGACCAGTATCACTATTCCAATGTCTTGCAGTAATTGTCTGAACGCGACTCTGTTTCGGACTGCCTCCGACTCGACTATTGACTCGACTTGAACTACTGACTCCTAGAACTACTGACGATATTCAGTCACCCCACCCACGAGGGCGTCATGTTGCACAAGGCCGGTTTAACGTGGGATCTCCGAGCCCGTGGGCTCGGCCAAAAATATGCCCATCGAACCCGTATAAACGGGTTCAGGGCCGGTTTACCTCCCCGAAAGAGAATCCGTCCTTCGGCGTAGCCTCCTTCGGGTTCCTCCCCGCCCGAAGGCAGAGAGTTCAACCGATTAGCCGGTCGAGACTTGAACTCCTGACGATATTCAGTCACCCCAACCCACAAGGGCGTCATGAGGCACAAGGCCGGTTTAACGTGGGATCTCCTGACTCCTTGCCTACTCCTGAGGCGCAGTATTTATTAAGTATGGAATAGTCCATTATTATTATTATGGGTAAGATCCCATAACAGTTTATGAATACACACCTTCGACAATTTTTCTCGATCGATCATATCTGCTTACGAATCATATCTTAACGTAAATAATGACAGTATGAAATGAATTAAATTCGAAAACTGTTTATATATATTTTCTGTTTATACGTTATTTTTATAGATATAGTTTAAGTAAAAACTTATCACATTATGAAATGGACAAAGTCCGACAATTATTTTAAGACATATTTATATTTATACATTCTTTTTACAGATACAAATATTTAAGTAAATGCTCTGTTTATAATAAACAGGCCGGTAAATATTGTTTAATACTGTTTATTATAAACAGAGCATTTACTATTTATTACATTTATTATATTTGTATCTCTAAAAAGAACGTGTAAACATAAATATGTCTTAAAATATATATAAAGACATTTTTATGTATATACATTCTTTTTTTATAGATACAAATATTTAAGTAAATGCTCTGTTTATAATAAACAGTATTAAACAACATTTACCGGCCTGAATATCCGAGAAATTTTCACAGAAAATATTAGTCCTCAGAAAGGATTCGAGCCTATATCCTATATGGAACCGTCATTTATCTTTACTTGCCTTTACCGATTTGACCACAGGGGAGCGTTGGGTTAGCAAGGTCGAATTTACTGTTTTTCTCGGACATTGATTGATTGAAGTTCAAATACAAGTAAATTCGAACTTGCTAAATGATTAAATGATCAAAGTATATTAAAGAATAAGTTTTCATTCAAATATTTTATATTTCCGCCTTTCAGTTCTCTATCTTATGTTTTGAGACTATCTATAGTTAACTGTCTTTTGGGGTTTTTTTTTTTGTTTTTTTTTTAAATGTTTCTCTTTCATGGACCCCATGGTGCTTGGAGGCTTCTTTAGAGGCCAAGTTAATGGCTTTTTAAGCTTACTTCATGTGAACTATAGTAAAAATATGTAATAAATAATATTGCGTGGGTGGACACCAGACTTTTAGAAATTCCAAAACGGGACATGGCCCAAAATCGGCTGGGAACAACTGATATACACTGCTCATCCTGTTAGGGTAGCAAAGTCTGAATTACTGTTTATAAACACACACTTTCGACCATTTTTTTCGAACGATCATATGTGCTCACCAAACGTAACTTAACGTAAACAATGACAACATATTATGAAATGGATTCAGTCCGACAATTATTTAATAGATTTTCTGTTTACACGTTATTTTTATAGATATAATTTATTTAAGTAGGAGGAGGAGGGGAAAGTAAGTGTATTAGAAATGTATCGGTGGGGGGAGGGCTAAATTAAATTTACCTACTTTCTTTGCATCCCACTTTTTAGTATGTATACAACACGTCATGCTTGTGGGGTCTGGAAACATTATTATAGCTCATTTTTTCTTGACAAAGGTTACTAATGTTATTATGATTGTTGTAAGGTTTTGTCTTTTATAAAAATTTTCCAGATTAAAATCGGATCTTTTTTATTACTTTCCTTTAATTTCCACATATGGTTAGCTAATCTATTAGAACTATTAATACTTTATATATATATATATATATATATATATATATATATATATATATATATATATATATATATATATATATATATATTTAAAGATATTTTTGTAGGTACAAAATTTAATGATCGAAATAAAAGTATAAAATTTAATATTACAAGACATATTAAACACAAAAATAAAAAAAAACAATAACGAGGGTTGAAACCTGAAGAGCGGGAGCGAAACCGGTTGCTTCCTCCTCGATCCTTTCGATCATATATATATATATATGTATGTATGTATATATATATATATATATATATATATATATGTGTGTGTGTGTGTGTAAGTGTGTCTTTATATTTATTATTATATTATTTATATTTATTAACATATATATATATATATATATATATTGCATATATATAATATATTGCATATGTATACATACAATATATATATATATATACAATATGCATCTATATATATATATATATAATGTATTATAGTTTCCTTTTTGTAAACTAGTCAGTGGAAACATTAATCAATGGATATATATATATATATATAGTTTAATAAGTTTCATATATATATATATATATATATATATATATATTTATTAAAGACATTTTTATGTTTAACGTTCTTTTTTTATAGATACAAGTATTTAAGTAAATGCTCTGTTTATAATAAACAGTATTAAATAACATTTACTGGCCTGAATGTCCGAGAAATTTTCATAGAAAATATTCGTCCTTTTACGGTAAGGCACGTCAGCGTAACTGACGGTTCTGTATAGGATGCAGGTTCGAATCCTGTCAAAGGACGAATATAAGCCAGAGAGAACCTCGATCGAAGCGCACACTCGTATCCGCACATACCTGTTTTTCTCATAAATATTTTCTTGGGAGATCGTACTACTACTAACTGTCTTTTTATAGCGACAGATACATTGTGCACTCGTCTATATGACCACGTCCCCGACGACGACGCTAGCTGCAGGATAATGCGTGACGCGTACAGTGTAGCCAATTCAACGCCGCCGCCTCAACACCACCAACTCAGCACCGCCCACTCAGCACCGCCCACTCAGCACCGCCGCCTCAACACCACTAACTCAGCACCGTCCACTCAGCACCGCCGCCTCAACCCCGCCAACTCAGCACCGCCCACTCAGCACCGCCGTCTCAACACCGCTGATAATGAGCCGGGAGAGCTCACGACTGAGACAACTCTGGACCAAGACAACACAGCAACCGAAAAACA